TGAGCATCTTTTTCATTAAGTCTAGTTTACCCATACCAAATTTCAGCTAAAAATTCAACCGGGAAGACAATCAAATGATTTTCTGAAATACACTGCACTGTTTAACTGCGCAGTTATCTTTAAATATTTATTTGACTGCCTTCCCAATTGAATTTTTAGCTAAAATATGGTATGGTTCAATTAGACTTAATGAAAAGGCTCAAAAAATTTAATCAAAAAATTTCATCACTCCAAATTTTTAAGTTAGTTGGAGGGCTTATTTGCTCTTTTATTCTTAAATATTAATACATAGCTCCTACTGAATCCATCAGGGTGTGAAACAAATTTTAAGTATTTACTTAAAATTGATCGCAAATAATAATATGTGAGAATATTGGGTACAATCTCTAAATATGAATCCTCTGATTCTTCACTTGCAATTTGCACTAAATATAATTAAAGAAATTAATTCAAAATTAAATCTTTGATTCTTCAAATATTCGAACGTTCGTCAGATCTTCAAATCTTCGAACCTTCGTACTTCGTATCTTCAAACCTTCAAAGTTTTGTTCTTTGAATCTTCGAATCTTCATTCTTTGAATCTTCAAATATTCTTGAATTAAGAATTCAGCTTGAAGGGCCTCCGGTTTTCAAATGGCTTGATCTTCAACAAAAGGGCCATTTTGTGGCTTGATCTTCTGTTTAAGGGCCTCCCGGGATATGCGGCTTGATCTTCAATTGAATCTTGATTCAATCTTAATATGAATATCTTCAAATCTTCAAAGTTTCGTTCTTCATATCTTCAAATCTTCAAAGTCTTGTTCTTCAGATCTTCGAATCTTCAAGCTTCGTTCTTCAGATCTTCGAACGTTCTTCAACTTTTGGATTTATTTTATTAAGAATCGACGAAATCACGAAGGATTATTCGTATATTCTTAACAAAAATCGTGGCTTGATCTATTCCTCTTCTTCGGAATCGTTCAGCCTTTACGGGAGTTCTTGAGAGCTTTTCTGCAACGTTTCTTCGTCTGAAAATTCTCCCCTTCTTTCTCTCAACTGAGACCCCTATTTATAGGAGTGGAGGGGGTGAAAATATGCTTTAGGATTGCAGAATTTCGTCCATACCTCATGGGCCTCAAATAAAATGGGTTTTGGGCTCTATTTGCTTGCATTTAATAGCCAGAAAAATCAGCACTTGTTCGATGTATCTGGACAGCTTTTTTAACGAGGTTCGCAGCCATTTTCCATGCATACAGATGGATTCCTTAACCATATTCATTGCTCTCTTTATAAATTGGATCATGACTCTTATTCATTGGGCTACTATTTAATAATGGGCTCAAAATAAAGAAATTAATAGGACCGGTCCATTCTTTTAAAGATTTAATTTATAATTAAATTAATTGGATATTTAAATGACCCAAGTTAATTCAATTATTACATTTTATCCGAATGGGTCCATATTAATATTTCTTCTATAAGGTCCAACAACCATCACGAGCAGCCCAACAGAATCGAACGTTGACCCAATAAATTCAAAAGAGGTCCAATAAATTTTACATGTCCACAAATGCCCCATCGAGACTTGCTTGAATGTTTGTGGAACTAAAAGTAAGTCTCGAAATAGATGAACCCGAATCACTTGTTACTCCCGGAAAAAAATGGAGAGTATTTTATGTAACCGAGCGGTGTAAAGTTAATATACCATCCCAATTGATTTAATCCAAAATAGCTCAAACTGTTTCAGATCAAGCAGGACATATTTTGTAGCGTACGTAGTCCATTAATCCAATTCAAAGAATGTACTTGAGGCATAATATTCTAAGACTTTAATTCATTCTCTAATTCAATAACAGACTCAGACCACTCGTGGCTGTCAAATTAGAATTGTAATTAAACTCTTGCCACCGCCTTAGATGAGGTATACTCCCAGTTGAATTCTTTCTGCCAAGCTGTTGTATTATAGATCCAGTCCATAAACAAGTATAAATTGGGGGCATCACCTATCTATATTCACAAGACAATCATCAGACATTTGCATATTCCATCCCATTCCTTTTCAAGCATCGGAAGTTCCATAGAGCAGGGAATTAGATAAGGTAATTTTTTGTTGATATTTACTTTGTATATTCTCTCTTTATGGTGTTTTGCAGGGAAATTTATTAGGAGCAAGCACCTACCGTATAGTATCAAAATTGACAGAGAGAAGAATCGGGAGATCACAATTGATGATGCTTTGTCGCTGATTTCTGGAGAGGAGTTCTGCAGGCTACAGCGAGCTTCTCCCGGTGGTGCTGATATTTTCGTGCTCGTGCGAAGGAGGAGTAGATGATTTCAATTGATGGCCGTTTTGCTGGATCGCCGGTGCCGTCGGGAGCTAATTTGTTGCCGGAGAAGATGGTGGGAGGCCGATGCTCTGCTGTTGCTGCAGCCTGCGGAGTCTTCTTCGCGCTTATGTTCGCTGACGCTTTGCCGTTGCGGATGAGCTGATGGCGGTGTTTGTTGGCTGAAGGAGAATGAGATCTGGCCAAGTTTCGTTGATTCCTGATTCAAGGCTACCGTAGCTTTGGCCAGAGGGAGGAAAGAGACAGTCAACTGCTCGTGCGAATAAATTGAACGGCATTGGGCCAGTTTTTACTTTTTAATAAATTGGGCCTTTGGGTCTATTTCATGCTTCGAGCTTTCCCATGAATCCGGGCAATTCTAAGATCGCAACGAGGCCCTTTTTCTGCTATTTAAATCGATTTAATCATCACGTCACTCATTGAAGAGGAAGGAGTTCGGTCAATCGCTGGTTGATTGCTGGTTGTCGGCGCTGCTTGGGGTCCTTCGTTGGGCTAGTGGCACTGATTTAAACAATTAGGCCGATTTCCGACCGTCGGTGTTGCTTGGGGCCCTTCGTTGGGTTAGTGGCACCGATCTAAAGGAATAGATCTATTGCCGGTCGTCGGTGCTACTTGGGGCCCTTCGTTGGGTTAGTGGCACCGATCTAAAGAATTGGTCCGATTGCCGCTCATCGGTGTCGCTTGGGGCCCTTCGTTGGGCTAGTGGCACCGTTATAAAGAATTAGTTCGATTGCCGGTAATCGGTGTCGCTTGGGGTCCTTCGCTGGGCTAGTGACACCGATTTAAAGCATTAGGCTGATTGTACCTGTCGAAGACTGAGATGTTGCCGCTACTTTCGACCTTTGTCCATTCTGAAGGAGCTTGACTAATTATTGGCCAGTGTTACTGATTTCTTTGTTTGTCTCGTCAGAAGATGAAGCCAATCGCTCGGGCTTGAAATTGATTATCATCGCTGAGCGGCCCTTTTTATTATTATTATTATTATTATTATTTTAGTTTATTATTATTATTATTATTATTTTATATTTTTTTTTATGTATATATAGTAATACTAATAATAATAATACTAATAATAATAATGATGATGATGATGATGATGATGATGATGATGATGATGATGATTTTTTTTTCTTTTTTTTTGCAGTCCAAAATGATATATTTTAAGGACGTAAGGCGTGGAGGCAAAAAGTATCTCTCTATATCAACGAGCATGAAGAATGACGAAGAGATTCTTTTGGAGATACACAAGCCATTTGCTCGTGAGTTTTGGGGTCTAACAGTTGTGTCCTATCGAGTTACAAACTGGACTCCTGAGTGCGAGTATCAAGCTCAGACAATGCGGACTTTAGTATCTGGCTTTACTCACATGTCCTCTTCTGAGATTCTTCCTTCTTTGGGTAGACGCATCCTTGATGAAAACGACCCTTTGACAAAGACCTTATCATTTGGTGGTGAGTTTCGATTCATCACAGGTTATTGGGACTGGGCCGAAGATATCTTGAGCATGAGTAAAAGCGTTCTGGAGGAATGAGTTATTTACGATGCTGTTTATGCCTCATTATTCACGTATGACCGATGTACTAATGCTATTCAAGCATTTTGCGAGGCATGGTGTCCCACGATGAATACTTTGCTTACGTCAATTGGCGAATTGACGATCACACTTTGGGACTTGCACGTTAAATACGATGAATCTATTCCGGGCACTTCTGAGTTGTTAAATACGAGCGCTGACCGTTCATTTCATCTCTGTAAATATTTGTTTCACGCATATCATCATCTCTTTCCCAAAGCCGGAGATAAGCGTGTTTTGCGTGTTCATGCGTGGGTCAAATTCTGGTTCAGAAAGGCCTCCAAGTATACTATGCCTCCAGTGAGAACAGAAAAGAAACGAACATCTCGTGCCAAGGCGACCCATAATCCGAGCGGAGCTATTCCAAAATTTGGAGGATGGTCGAATTCTATGAGGGTACCATTCCACGTACTCAAGGTTCCTGCTGAATATGAGGAAGAGGTATATTTAGCGGCATTTTTATCGTGTTGGCTTTGCGCATTTGTATTGCCGCATGAAAGTCCTAGAGTTATCCGCCCGGAAACATTCAGGGTTGCTTGTATGTTGGCTCGAGGGAAATGTGTATGCCTTGCGGTCCCGGTTCTTGCAAGTGTCTATCATGGGCTTAATCGGATCTCGAATGCTCCAACTCCTGATCAAGTTAGAACGTGTTTTCCCGTTCACTATGTTTATGGATGGTTGGCATCATACTTTGATACGCATTTTAAGAATGAGATTCAGTCCACGACGCCATTAATGGTTTCTTATTCAGGAGAAGGTGGAGCGAGATCCCTCGAGAAGAGAAGTGCGCGCAAACGAATTTTCCAGGGAGATGTATCAGCATGAGTATGTTCTACGCATCGGCGAATCAAAGAATATTCATTCTTCGATGGTAAAAATCCTCCAGAGGCTGAGTTGGCACTTTTTAGGAGTCTTCGGTCTAATTATCTTGTATTACGCTACCGGGATCATTGCATTGCCGAGCCTTACACTCCTCACCGCTTTAGTCGCCAATTTGGGTATTTTCAGGCTTATGCTTCTGGTTTTCTTGAGAAGCATAACCGACGTGTTACACTTGCTGATGGATCTCGACTTTGGTTGCAATTCGAGCATGGCCTATCATTAGCGAAAGCAGTGTTTCCAACCCCTCCGACTATTCCAGCAAAGTATTACTCCTTGGAGTATAAAGAGTGGTGGAGCCAAGTTCATGGTAACTACCTCGAGAATCATGTGGGTGACTTGATTTGGATTTGTGATCTTGCAGTTGACGATGTGATCACCCCTTCAGATCCCGTGACTCTGGTCTCCAAGAAGAAAAGGGCACCTGATACTGATGCTAAGTCTTTGCCCCAGAAAAAGGCTATGCTTGCAGCACCTAGGGCTGAAGTTTTGATCAAGGATGCTCAGAAAGAAATGTCTCCTGCCAAGGCGAGTGAGAATCAAGTTCTTGAAAAGCAGAGTAGTGATGAGAAGAACTGGAAACATCTTAGAAAATCTCGTCTTGGACCACTGAAGGTTAGTTTCATCATTTTATAGTTTTGTTTCAAGCTTGTACTTGTATTTTCTTCCTTCTTTTGCAGATTCATGCAATCCTTGATGATGCTAGTTCTTCGAATCATGTTTCTTCATCTAGATCAAGTGAAGGAGAAAGCGCAGATCATGACACCGTCGCTGGATTGATAGCAGAAACCGGCCCAAGTCATTGTAAAGAAGTTCCGATCCATGAAATACCCAAGTCTTCTCATGCGAAACCGGCTGCATCTGTATTCCATGCAGAAGACTACTTCTTTACTTTGTATAAGGAGTTCATCATCAATACTTGGAGTGGCATTCAACAAAAGTTAGGACGGGCAACAGCAGAGAACGTCTCATCTCTTCGGGAGAGTGTTGAGAATTGTGTTATCTTGATGGAGAAGGAGGGCATTGACCTTTCCATGTTGAAGACGAGAGTGAAGCATTTCTTTGAAAGGGCACAATCATTTGATCAGACATGCTCGACTGTTGTTGATAGGGTTCCTTCTGAGTAACAATCTCAGGAATTGGCTATGTCGCAGGCTTTTTGTGAAGATATTGAAGCTAAGAGATCTCAAAACCAAGTGACATTACTTGATGATGAGAAATCTCTTAAAGATATCAAAAAGAAGATAGCCCTATTGGAAGCTGAAGCTAAGGAAGTAGAAGTTTTGATCTCCAAGAGTCGTGTAGAGGCTAGTGACTTAGACGCAGCTCTTACGAAGGCTAAGGAGGAATCTTCATGGATTTTGAAGACTATCAAAGCATCAGATGAGGATCAATTTTCTTTAAGTACTCAGAAGAAGGAGCTAGAGGCCTTGAAGGATGACTTAGTTAGCTTTAAATTGTTTTTAGGCTGATACTTAGCTTTTAGATTAGCTTTTAGTCAGCAAACAACTCTTTTCCTTACTTCTTACCAAACTATATATGGATATTTGCTTCCTTTGTTGCTTCTCATGAGTTGATATTGCCTTGCTTCTTCTTCTGTTTTCTCTTTCTTTCTTCTTTTTTTCAAAGTGACTGAGATCAAACTTTATTGAGGGTTTGTGTTGTTATGACTGAACTCAAAAATGAAACTTTTGAGCTGCCTACGTACTCCTATGAAGGAAACCAAGTCAAACGTAGTTCATAAGTACCATTTGAATTGGTAATCTAAAGGAGGGGACCGTACACAGTTTTAACTCATGCGGGCCAGGAGCTTGCCGTACACATTTTTAACTCCCGTGGGCCAAGAGCTTGCCGTATACATTTTAAACTCTCGTGGGCCAAGAGTATCTATGATTATGCTCACCCATAGACAAAGTGAGATGTTTTAGCAGTTTAGCCACTTACAACATCATTGGTGGTCTAAGCCATTCAACATTTCTTATGGCCATATCTATACCCCAAATATCAAGGGTAGTAGAGCTTTAAAAATCTTCCATTGATCGGGCCAATCTTTGAGCCATCTCCATCGACCAACTTGTAGGCACCGCCTGAATATACTTCTTGAATAACATAAGAACCATCCCATTTAGGTGAGAATTTGTGCCCCGTTTTTCGTGTGATAATGATAGGTCTTCTCACAGCTAGAACTTTATCGCCAACTTGGAATGAGCGAATTCTAACCCTTTTGTTGAATGACTTCGATAGACGAGCCTGATAGCATTCTAGGTTCTGCTGAGCTTCTAACCTCTTTTCATCAAGTGCCTCAAGTTCTGTCAATCGCAACTTGACATTTTCTTCATCAGTGAGTCCTTCTTGAATAGCCAATCTCAGAGATGGTATTTGGCGCTCAAGGGGAAGGACTGCTTCGGTACCATACACCAAAGAATATGGAGTGCTTTGAGTAGGTGTTCGATAAGTCGTTCTATATGCCCATAATGCTTCTTCCATTCTTTCGTGCCAATCCCTCTTTGATTTTGACACTACTTTCTTCAACAGGTTACATAGAGTCTTGTTAAAAGCTTCAGCGAGGCCATTGGCGGCAGCATAGTACATAGAGGACTTCCGTTGCTTGAAATCAAATAACTTGCATATCTTGTCCATCAACTTGTTGTCAAAATGTTTCCCATTGTCCGTCAAGATATATCGGGGAATACCAAAGCGGTAGATGATATGAACTCGGATGAAATCAGCAACATTTTCCTTCTTCACCTCTTTCAATGCAACTGCTTCGGCCCATTTTGATAAGTAATCAGTAGCGGCTAGTATGTATGAATGCCCTCCTGATGAGCTAGGCGTGATTGGCCCAACTACGTCAAGTCCCCAAGCGTCGAATGGCCATGATGCTACTGTCGGATGCAAAGGCTCCGGTGCTTGATGGATGAAATTTGCGTGATATTGGCATGCTTGACATCTTCTAGCATAGTCCATGCAATCCTTTACCATGGTTGGCCAATAATATCCCATCCTCTTGATATGAAAGTGCAGCTTAGGACCGGACTAATGAGCTCCACATACTCCTGAATGTGCTTATTCCATTGCTTGTAAGACTTCATCTCCACCCAAACACCTAAGGAATACACCATCGAATGATCTTTGATAAAGCGTATCTTTATAGTAAATGAAACGCGGTGAACGCCTCTTCAAGTCTACTTTCTTGCGGGGATTTTCAGGTAATTTTCCATCAGTGAGATAATCAATGAGCGGCTGCCTCCAATCTTCATTTTCAATATCATAAACCGAGGTAGTTGGCATCTCAACTATCTCTTCGGCTGCACCATCGTCTCCAATGAATGGAGGAATTACCCATTTTTTACATACCCGTACTTGAGTTCCATCGTCAAGGTGTGCCATGTTCGATGCTAACCCTGCCAGTGCATCGGCTTGCTTGTTTTCTTTCTTGGCACGTGTTCAATTGTAACTTCACCCAGCCATCCTATGAGTGCCCTTGCATATTTGTTGTAAGGATGCAGTTCAGGTTTCCTTACTTCATAAATTCCAAGCACTTGATTGATGATTAGTTTTGAATCACCGTAGATATTAACTCGTGTTTGCTTCATGTCTACAGCTATTTCAAGTCCGAGAATGAGTGCTTGATATTCAGCGACATTATTGGAGCATTGTTCCGTAAGCGTGAAAGCATATGACAGAACTTGACCTTCGGGTGTAACAAAACCACACCAGCTCCAACACCTTCTCTGTGTGCAGCTCCATCAAAATACATCTTCCATGGAGGCAAAACTTCAATTATGAGCACATCTTCATCAGGTAGATCATCAGAAAGTTCCCACTCAGCAGGGATAGGGTGATCGGCTAGGAAATCTGCCAAAGCTTGTCCTTTTACAGATTTTTGTGAGACATAAACAATCTCAAACTGTTGAAATATCAAGTACCACCTAGCAAGACGATCAGATAGAACCACTTTGGACATCACATACTTCAGCGGATTTGCTCTGGAGACAAGATTTATCGTGTGAGCTTCAAAGTAGTGTTTAAGCTTCTTGATTGCAAATATAAGGGCCAAACACAATTTCTCAATGGGCAAGTACTTCAACTCGTGTGGGTCATCATTCTGCTTAAATAATAAAGGGCATTCGCCTTCCCTTTATCATTTTCTTGAGCTAATAGAGCTCCCACAGACCTTTCTTGAGCAGCAATGTAAAGTATCAAGGGGCGGCCAGAGATAGGTGCATTTAGGACTGGTGGTTTCATTAAATAAGCCTTGATATTTTCAAACGCATTCTTACACGTTTGGTCCCATATGAAAGGCACACCCTTCTTCATAATTCGACTAAATGGTTGACATCTTCCAGATAAGTTCGAGATAAACCTCCGTATGTAAGCCAATTTTCCTTGCAAACTCTTCAACTTGTGAATATTTCGAGTCTCCGGCATATTCACAATAGCGTCGATCTTGGCTTGTTCTATATCAATGCCTTTGTGACGGACAATAAACCCCAAGAATTTCCCGGCCGAGACTCCGAAAGTGCACTTTAGAGGGTTCATTTTGAGACCAAACTTCCTCAAGCGATCAAATACTACTCTTAAGTGTGATAGATGATCGCCTCGAGCTTTTGACTTCACCACGAGGTCGTCAACATAGCACTCCACGATTTTGTGAAGGATATCATCAAATATTTCCTGCATAGCTCGTTGATAAGTAGCTCCTACATTCCTAAGTCCAAATGGCATGATCGTGTTGCAATAGATCCCCTTAGGAGTTCGGAAGGCAGTCAATTCTTCATCTACGGGAGCCATCCGGATCTGATTATAACCTGAGAAACCATCCATAAAAGACATAATTTCATGCCCAGTCACAGCATCTATCATTAATTCATGATTGGAAGTGGAAAATCATCTTTTGGACATGCAAGGTTAAGATCCCGAAAATCAACACATATTCGGATTTGTCCATTTTTCTTTCTGACCGGGACAATGTTGGATATCCAAGTAGGATATTTCACTTCTCGAATGAATCCGGCCTCAATAAGTTTATCAACCTCTGCTTCAATTAATGGAATTAAATCCGGGCGGAAACGCCTTTGAGCTTGCTTTACTGGTCGGCATCCTTTCTTTATCGCTAAGTGATGAACAACGATTTTTGGATCCAACCCCGGCATTTCTTTGTATGTCCATGCAAAGACATCCTTGTATTCTTGGAGTAAGGCCACATATTCTTCTTTTTCTTTGCTCGATAGAAGAGCACTGATATAAATGGGACGAGGGTCCTCTTCAATGCCGAGATTTACCTCCTTTAGTTCATCCAAAGTTGTTCGCACTCCTTCTTCGAATTCCGGAGGAGCTTCATCAGCATCTTCACCTTCGACCGGGATTTCATCACCAAAGGTAATATGGTAAGATGAGGCAATGTATTCCTCGTCATCAATCAGTTCATCATATTTGAACTCACTGTCTGCCGGCATTCGAGTGTGAATAATTGTTTTCAACTGTACTTTGAGAGTTTCTCCACATGAGACTTGCACATCAGTTTCTCGCCTCATTCGGGATGGAATCAAGCTTCTACATTCATTCAAAACTTGTGTTTTTGTATATTTGTTGAGAGACTTCTTGCGTGAGCGAACTTTTCCCAACCTTTCATGTACCGGCTTTTTCTCAAAGTTTTGCCCACTACATGGGTCTTCCATGTGCTTTACTATGAAGGGGATCATTCCAAGCCTTTCTTGTAAAGTTTTCTTCATGATCTTCTTTGGCTTTGGCCCCATTCTATAAAACATGGCGGGTTTTGATTTTGCCCCCCCAATTCGATCAAAAACAGAATACTTTGGTTTAGAAGTCACTTCATCCTCTTCATCCGCACTGATATGATGCGTTGTGGCTCTATTTATGAGGATTCTTATGGGTTTCGGCTAAACGTAACCCAACCCTGTATGTCCTCGAAGATTGATCTGCTTCGATGGTCCTTCTCCACCAGCTTCTGGAATGAGTTTTCCTATCTTCTGTTCATTAGGATTATACCCAGCCTTGGCCAGAAGTTTGTATGCATTTGGGTCAAATCCTTCATTAGTGCGTGCCTTGGGGATTTGAAACTCCTTAACATCATCTTTGTGCTTTATTTCTTTCTGAGACATGTCTTGAGGAGGCCTTGATATCTCGATCTTTGCAAGAGGGAACGTAATCCCTTCTATGCCTTCAACAACTTTCTCTTTCAGCTTTGGTTGAGTCAAGAGGCGATATACTTCTTCCTGTCTAATATTGTCTTCTTTAGAGATTTTAGGCTTCTGGTAAAACTTTGCATCTGCAAAGTATGTCTCGGCTTCTGTGAATGGAGTTTCATCGGCCACTACCTTCTTTACAACACCGTTCTCCTCATACATGAAGCATTGGTGCCATGTTGAAGGAATCACACTGTTCTCATGTATCCATGGACGACCTAGAAGGAGATTATATAAAGCCTTTGCATCAATGACGTGACATAAAGTACTTGCTTTCAACCCGCCAATGACCAGATCAAGACGGATCATTCCAATATAATCGCTCTTTGCCCCCCTTGATTAAAGCCTTGAATCATTAAGCGACTTTGGGAGAGTTCATCC